CTTTCGGGTTTAGGGCTTAGGGTCTTCGTGCTCCAAGGATGCCTGGTGCTTACGGGTTTGGGGTTTAGGGGGCTACCTATAGTCTCCATTGTAGTTCCTTTTTTTGGTTTAACCAAATATATATTAAGGATTCTATAAGGTATCCCCAAAAAGGAACTACAATGGAGACTATAGGTAGGGTTAAGGATTTAGGGGTCCTTGGTTGTGGGTTCCGGGGCCTGGCATCAAATAGTGCTTTGTGAAAGCCTGCACATGCGTCGTACAAACCCTCTGCTTAGACAACTAGAATTTAGAACTTTCTGTGTTCCAGATGAAACTAGCTATATAGTTTCATGTGTAGAACCTGATGGAGCTTGTGGTCGATATATGGCGAAGACTCCTGTGCACAGTGTTTTTTTAGGGAGCATACATAGTTTATTTACAGACTGAGGGTTTGATAGGGTTTAATTGGTGCTTCTACTGCAGAAAGAAGCACTACATATACTTTTTTGACTGACAGTTTGCGATTGCTGACATGTATGCAGTGGTTTTAGGGTTTAGGAGGGAGAGAGAGAGAGAGAGAGACAGAGAGAGAGAGAGAGAGAGAGAGAAAGGAGCCACCCACACATGTTGAAGCCTGCAGTGCTCAGTTGGCTGGCCCTTATAAAGCCCTAAACCCTATCACCCTGACCCTGAAAACCTGAAGCCCTAAACACTTAAAGCTACATAAACCCCTGAGCCCGAACAAGAACCCAGCGGAGGATCGAGCCTCTGGGCTGCTTCGAGGGCCTCTTGGCTCCAAGGATGCCTGGTGCTTATGGGTTTCGGGTTTAGGTGGCTAGGGTTGAGGATTTAGGGGTCCTTGGTTGTGGGTTCCGGGGTCAAGCATCAAATGCTAGAATCTGGAACTTTCTGACAGCTGCAGCACACGTCCTCCCAGATAAAGCTAGCTACACCGTTTCATCTAGAATCCAGAATCTCATTGAGCTGTATACATCCGGTAGGCACCCGTGCAGAAGAGTGCGAGATGGATAACATAAAGATGTAGGGGCCCAGGCCCCGGATGCTACAGAAATTATAAGACACCTGAACCTTCCCAGCTAAACCGACAAAACACCAAAACCCTGACCCCTATATAACTTGAAGCCCCTTCAGCATCCACAGCAGAAACACTGCCTCTCAGTCTGCAGAGGACCAGTCCATTGCACGTCATCGCAGCCTGTCGGCAGTGACTTCACATTGGGCCGGAAAGTGCGAGGTCTCGGGTGTTCGGGTTGGGATCTTGGGTTGGGCGACCCTCTTGAGGCGGGCTCAACGTTAAGAGTCCTGCTTCGATATGTAGTTGAAGTTCGGGGATGCATGGGGTCGTCGTCGAGTTCCGGGTTCCTCTCAACATCCATAACTATATATATAGCCTTAACACATAGAGACAGATTCGGTGTCCTCTGTTTGTGTATTATATGCCTGATATACTACAGAGGATTCGGCGGGGTTCCTCGGGGACAACAACTCCGAAGTTAACTCACAGACTTACAATATATGGTTTAGGGTTTAGGGTTTAGGGGTTTAGGTTTTAGGGTTTAGATATCGGTCTCTCTCTCTCTCTCACACAAGCTTTTCCGAGCAGTAGCGAGGTCTTTACGGCACATTGCTAACCTAACTCTTAGGTGCACAGCCATCGAGCAAGGTCTGTGTGTACAGGCAGCCAAGGGCCATAACAAAATCGTCAAAACGGGCCGTCTCGGCTTCACTGAGGCCATTGACAAACATGCAACGATGCTGCTCCACTTGTGACAGAGCATATCCAGTATCGTGTTGCACATAAGCAGGAAGATTGAGCAGTTGCTTCTCCCGAGGAAACACGAAGCCTGTGCGAATGTAGCGAACACCGCCTTCCGTGTCAACTCCATAACGGATCGTAGTCAATGTGTCGACAATCTCCTCCACTTGTCGTCTCAGATGAGAAACTTCCTGAGGGAGATGTTGGAAGGTATGCAACCCACCGTTCCGAATGGCTTCGAAGCTGAAATCTGTGAGGTCTTGAAAGCCCTCGCTGCCAGGAGCCGGCATATTATTCAGCATTGATTCCACCCTTTTCAGCACAAGACCATCGACATTCAACCAGCGTTCAGCTGAATCGGCTCGCTCCGACATGCTTCCTATAGAAACTAATTGCTTGGGCAAAACCTAACCTTTGAACAGCAAAGGACAGGCAGAACACTTGCATGTCAGTAAGGCACATCTATGACTGCTTGCCGGCACAAATCTACGTGCATTGGGTGGCCTCCAGGATCGCATCATGCATGGCTTCGACAGCCACTCGGATAGCGAGTGAAACCAGGCTTCGTTATCGGCGTCTATGTGAAACGGTTGAGCTGGCCAGCCTACACTGGACTTCCTGTCGCCGAGAGGAAATCCAGGGTAGGCTGGCCAGCTTGATTGGGATGCAAAGGCTTTCTACATATATATATATATA